CCCCAAAACCCCAAAACCCCAAAACCCCAAAACCCCAAAACCCCTTTTTAAAAGAAGTGGATTGAATTCGTATCATAATTATAAATTAGAATGGAAAAGGATTCTGGTGAACCCCATAATCCAAACTTTGTAGCAAAAGTGGAAGAAAAGAAAGAGGGGAAGCAGAAAAAAGATGAAAATTTGAGTGTTATGAAGGAACCTCTTGCTTGAAGTACTGAGCAGAGAGAACCTATAGCAAATATTTTTTCTAAAAATACCTCAAAAAGAGAAGAAATTGTTGATGACCACAAAGAATATCAAGGCAAGCATGAAGAGACTCTATCAAAACAGGAGGCTCTAGAAACCACTTTGCAAAGGCCTAAACAGAATATTGGAGACTATTTAGTATCTAGTAATGTGGATGAGCATATAATTCCGAAAATACTGGATAATGATTACATGAATAAAAAATTTGCTATGGAGACTTGAAATGATAACTCATCAAGAAGACAAAGCACTCAAGCTCAACCAAAACATAAGAAGAATCTAACAAAAAGGAACTCTCATCAAAGTGTAAACCAGCTGAAGAGGACCAAAAACAATGAAGATCCTAGAAGAAAGAAATCTAGACCCAACCAAAATAATATAAACCACCAGCCCAATAAAGTTTCTGAAAATGATCAGAAGGTGAAACCTAAGGGGTGGTTTAAAAGGTTCAAATCTGCAGTAGGAAGTTATTTTACTTCAGAAGACAATAAAAAACAGAATAACTTACAAAGAGAAGAAGACCTTAGAAGACAAGCATCTGGGAGTAAGAAATTAAAACCAAGAGAAAGCCCTTACATAGTTTTGGAACAACATGGAATACAGATAGTCAATAACTTCGTCGCAGGAGTTTTCAATGATGCAATCATGCAAGGAGAGAAGAGTTATCAAGAATTATTGATAGAGTTCCTGGAGAGTACTAACATGCAGAATCTTACTAGGAAACTATTGGATACCAATGAGAAAATTCCTGACTTGCTGGTAGGAACAAGAAAATATCTGTCACTTCTAAGTAAAGTGAAGCTTGTGGAAGATAAAGCAAAGCAAGTTTTGAAAGAATGAATGAGTTGGTATTATGAAGTTCTAGATAATCTATACCCTGAAGACCAACTTGCATGAGTCGACAAAATTCTCAAGTTGTTAAAAGAAAAGGAAGGATCTAAGAAAATAGAAGGACTTCTAGAACTTTTCTGAAATCCAGAGAGCAAGCACATGACTCAAAATGCTCAAGCCCTGTTCAAATTCTGAATATTTGTTTGTCCCAAAAATGTGTGGGATCTCTTGAAATTAAGAAGATCAGAAATTGGCCTGATTAAGAAAGAAATACATAGACAAGAGAAGAAAAAAAGTAAGCAGAAAAAGACAGAACAAGAAGAATTAATGATAAAGGAGAGAGAGGAATGATTGAAAATGAATAATGAAGATGATACTTATGAATTTATCGGAAAACTATCTCAAGGTGGAGATGTACAGATGCAATTGATGATTGAGTATCTTGTCAAGAATAGATTAAGCTTTGCACAGATTAAGAAGGAGCTAAGGAAATGAAATCTAGACATTAACAATAATGTATTATCATCTCATTATATAATGTCCTGTGTTGAGACGATCAATAAGCATACATGGGATGTACAACGAACTCCATATGTTGTCCTGGGGAATATAGGATGTGGTAAAAGTTCCCTTATTCAGTATTTGAATAAAAACTTGAAAACAGAAACAGTTCAAAGTGATTATCAATGGAATGTAGACATGAAAAACAGAAAAGTTGGTCCAATAATTTCTAATAGCTTGAGTAATGCTGAAACTGTTGTCCCTCAGAAATATTGCTTGAAAGATATCAAAGCAAGACCTATAATATATGACACACCAGGATTTAATATACCTGATTCCTATGAACAAGAGATAGCTAGTTGACTATCTCTACAAAAAGTATTGAATAACAATGAAAAGTGCAAACTTATTCCTTGCTTTTCAATATATGAACTTCAAGGAAGAGGTTTTCTGTTTCATAAATTTTGAGAACAACTGAGTAGAATTCTCAACCTACCAAAAGTTTCAGATGAAGAGCCTGATTACAATAGAGATATATATGAATGGCCTTCTATGTACGTTGTCACAAAAATAGATATGACTCGCAGGAAGAATGTTATTATAATGCTAAAGAGATTTGCAAAAGAAGCTCCAAGACACAAGGTACTAATTAGCGACATATGAGAAAAATTACAGGTGTTCCCTAAGCCTGTAAATGGCAACTTCATTGGAAACCTTCCAAAATTTATCCCATTATTATCAAAACTGAGGCCTATCAAATTGAATTCTGAGCTTCCAATATCCGATGGAGCTAAATAACAAAATGAGAGTTCTCTTAGATGTCTGGGATACTGTATTGAAGGAACAACTTGATAAAGTTTTTGATGAAATTATCGAACCAATCGTATACGAGAGTTCATTAAATTATGATATAGAATTCTTGAAGTCATTCGAAACAATTAAAGAAATTGAAGACATTCCAGATTTCTTTTTAAAAATTGGAGCTCCATCAGATTCTGATACTGAATCAGATAAAATAAAGAAGGACATATATATTATCATTGCAACAACCTTGGGAGCAATTATACCATATAGAGATATTTTGATTAAACTCTCAGGGAAGCAAGAATCTGGAATATTTGAAGCATACTTACTGAATATGATAAAGAAATATCTAACAGAAGCCAAACATATTTTATTCATAGACTATCTGATCAATCTAAAATCTCTGAATCTTGAAGTAAGCTCTTTTGTGAGAAGCGAGTATGAAATATCAGATGAAAACATTGGAAATTTGAAAGGTCTAGTTAAGTATACAATAAACAATGAGGAATCTTGCATTGAATTCCTCAAAACCAAAATGGGCCTTCAAGATCTTATTGGTACTATAAACAGTAGGAAAGAAAAACTATCCCAATTCAACTATGATCAATCTAAGCATTATAAAGATATTATAAACGATATTTTAAAGAATCTCAAGGAAAGAATATCAATAGCCAAGACATTTTTAAATAAAAATACAATTATTGATGGTCAGAGACAAACCATTAGTAAGCAAACCCTACAAATAAACAAGCTAGAAGAGGAGAATAGGCAGAAAGATGCCACTATACAAGAACAGAAGAACACTATTAGAAACTGTGAAGAAACCATTGAAAATCAGAAAAAGGAGCTCATTAAGAAAGATAAAGAGATTGAGAAAATAGAGAATGAAAAACAGGAGATGACTAATGAATTAAACCATTACAAGAAGCAAGTGCAAAAGTATAATTCTGAGAAACAAGCAAAAGGACTTGGGTCAAAGCTAGGGTCATGGTTTGGAAAAGCTATCTCTGGCACAGCTGGTTTCGTTACTGGATTCTTTTCAGGAGCTGCTTCTGAAATTAATGTGGAGAATTTCAAATCAGGATATAGAAAGGGAAAAGATTGAGGAGCGGCTATTACTAAAATGGCAATTGAAGCAGGAGCAGCAGGAGTAGGAGCAATATCAGGAATTTGTAAAGGAGTCAAAGATGCAGAAGTAAAGAAAGCTTTTAATGAAGGCGAAGAAAAAGGAAAAGAGATTGGGAAATAAATTTACTGAAGAGGCTGTAAAATTAGCTGGAATGGGGTTAGGAGCCCTCAAGGGTGTACGGGATGCTGAGTATAAGAAAGCAGCAGCTAAAGGGGTTAAAGAAGGAGCAGAAATGGCCAAGAATGCAATAGAAAGCGCAATCTCTAATGCTTCAAAATGAGCAGGAGTTTTTGTAGGCTTGTGACAAACAGAAGTTACTAAGAGTCTCAAAGAAGGATATGATGCTGGCAAAGAGTTAGGAAAAGGAATAGGTAATACAATAGCAACAGGAATTGGAGCAGCAGCAGGAGTTGCTAAAGGGCTGACAGAAGCTGAATATTCTAAGAATTTCAAAAAGGGAGTAGAACATGGTGAAACAGTAGGAAAAGCTGTCGGTGAAAGTGCTGCATATCTCGCTGGAGGTGCAGCAGGAACAGCAAAGGGATTAGTAACCGCTGATTATTCTGGAAATTTCAAGAAAGGCCTGGATGATGGAGAAAAAGCAGGAAAAGCTGTTGGTGAAGGTGCTGCTTACTTAGTTGGAGGTACTGCAGGAGTAGCGAAAGGATTAGCAACTGCTGATTATGCTGGAGCAGCAAAGGATGGATACAAAGATGGAGTTGAAAATGGAGAAAATATGGGTAAAGCGATTGGAAGAGCAGCTGGGCAAACAGTTGGATTTGTTCAAGGTGGAATGCAAGGATTACAGGAAGGTTATGAGGAAGGACACAAAGAAGGATATGAAAAAGGCAAAGAATTAGGAGGAGAAATAGGTAAATTTGTAGGTGACAAAGTTGGCAAAGTCCACGGCTTTTGTGATGGAATGGGCGAAGAATTTGGAGATGCATATGCGAAAGGAAAAGAAACAGGCAAAAAGATGGGAAAAGAATTTGCCAAAAATAATCCATACCTTAAATGTATTGCAGGTCCTCTTGGAACTGTTGTAGGAGCTGTTGAAGGATTTGTTGAAGGAGGAAAAGAAATGTTTGATGAAGCTAGAAGAGAAGGAAATCAGCGAGGAAGAGATTATATTAAAAATTTGAAAGTAGCAAAGACTTTACAAAAAGTAGTGGAGGCAGGTGCTCAGATAGAGGGAGCGCTAGATGAAGGCATGAAGCAGATAAATGATGTTAAAAACACAATGAAGAGAGTTGAAAATAAAATAGATAATACTGTTAAAATAGTAACTGAAGCACCTGAGAAGATACAAAAATATTGAGAAAACATTGTAACAGACAAGTGTAATCAATACAAAAAGGAATTTAAGAATAGTACCAAAAAGGCTGTAAAGGGATTTGACAAAATGCTGAATACTAATTATACAAAAGAGATAGGACAATCAGTAAAAGAAGGTTTTGAGGAAGGCATAGAAGAAAGCAAGCAAGAATATATAAAAGACCGCTCTAGGAGTGCCAAAAACAACGATGATAATTATCTGTGCGCATTATTTGAAGAGAAGTTTAGTCTTGGTGTTTCAGACAAGACTGATATCAAAGATATGGAATCAGTGAAGAATTTGAAATTTGAAGGAAAAAGTCTTGATTTATTACTCATTGAAGCAACTAGAGGATTTACATCAGCGAATGTATCTTACTTATGGAAATCTAAGAGAGCTACTAAGCATGGTGAAATTAAGAAAGTAGCATATCATTGTTTTGATTTTAATATTAGTGGAAAAGATCAAGCCAAGAATTTCTTATCTCTTCTTGATACTGACCATCAGCACTTTAAAAGAGGATCTGATTATTCAGCTGTGTATATCGATTATGAGCTATATCTTGAAGCTTGAAGGAGTCAAGGATCGAGCACTCCTGATATAATAGAAGAGCAACTACAAGATTTCATGGATGATGTAAATCTAGAAGGATACATTGAGCCTATTATTATGCTAAGTCAAGGTTTTATAAAAATAATGGACGAAGACCTTGTTAAGAAATTAGGAAAATTACTAAACAAGCCTTGTTCTGAAGAAAAGAAGGAAATAGCAACTTATAAAGAACATTTTAAATTGAACATACAAGAAACTCCTATTGAAGAATTTGCCACGCTGTTTGAAGTCAAAACTGATTGAACTTTTAAAACAATAAAAGGAACTGCTTGCTGATATATTCGTTTGAAAGATTTACCTCAAGAAGAGCCAGAAAGCATGTTAACTCAAGAAGAGATAAATGAAGAGAGGAAGAAATGGAGAATTTTCAAACCATACATGCATGATGAAATTGATAAGCCTTTTAAAAACTTTAATTCTTTGCAGAAATTCTATGGCATTGACGTATCTACCCATCAAAAAGAAATAGATTGGGAAAAAGTAAAAGATCATAAGATACATAACAGAGAACTTGCCTTTGTTTTCATAAGAGCAACAAATGGGTTACAAGATCATGATGAGTACTACGAAGACAACATTAATGGAGTAAAAGACCTTAATTTGAAATTAAAATGAGCTTATCACTTCTTCTGGGTCAGTAGAGATATCAAAAAACAAGCTAGAAAATTTAAAACCTTGATTGAGGAGTCAGGGGAATTTAATAAAGAGAAGGATTGGATAGCTCTCGACATTGAGCTACCATTATGAATCGTAAAGAAAAATAAAAAGTACTATAGAGAAAATTATAAAGAAGATATTAAAAAATATGAAAAAATAAAACCCGATGAATGGGTAAAAAAAGTTAAAGAATTTATGACTTGGATGGGAGACGAAGGATATGAGAATAAGATCATCTACATGAACTCCGGCTTTTGGGAAGAACATTTCTTAAAAGCAGAGAATCCGGAAGAAATCTTTAAGGACTGTTTGCTATGGATTACATTCTTAGAACAAAGACCAGGACGTATTGAAAAGCTCTGGGATCACTACAGACTCCCTAAATGCAAGAATGCATCGTTTGTTCAGTTTTGAGAATATGAAAAGATAGATGGAATACAAGGAAATAACGGAGAAGTAGACATTAACTTGGTATCAGATCAATTTGCAATTGAAAATAACTGGTAGACCTCATAACTTTCTGGATAAGAATTACAGTTGATACTATTTAAGAAGTCGGTTATTTTGTAATGTTTGTGTGAGGTGATGATGTTCAGGAAATCTCTGATTTCTTCATATATTATTTCCAATTGAATGCTTTGGATGTTTTCTTTATTTTCAGTTCTCTATTCATTTTAGAGTTGTTTCTGTATAGAAGAGAATACTTTTTATTTAAGCTTGATGCTCATCTTGATAAGTGGGGGATTGGACTAGCTCTTAGTCAGGAATTACTTAATGATATTTTATTTTATCGAAAATTCATAGACACTTGATGAAATTAACTACATATTAATTAATTTAGACATCCTTGGTAGGAATATGACGCCTATAACTATTAAAACTGGATGCAAAAGTCTACTTCCATAGTAAATACTTGCCAACAGCTGCTCTGATAGATTCAAGATGTCAGAAAATTTATCGAATTTAGAATTAAAAATCATGATTTTTGAAACTGTTTTATGATTAGCTAAAATAGAGACTAGAATTATTCATTTTTATTAGAATAATTATATTCACAATATTACTCAACTTTTTGAGCATGGTCCGGGGTTTTGGGGTTTTGGGGTTTTGGGGTTTTTTTTGGGGTTTTGGGGTTTTGGGGTTTTGGGG